AAGGGGGAGGGCCTTCTCTGTGGGAGCTCCCACCCTCTGGAACGAACTGCCCCCAGAGATCAGGGTGATCCCTGATCTCCCTTCCTTCCGCCGCGCCCTCAAGACGTGGTTGTTCCAGCTTGCGGGACTGGCCTAAGGGATTTTAAAGGGGTTTTAATTACTTTTAATCTGATGAATTTAAATATTTCTTTTTAATCAAATTTTAATTAGGTGTATAATATGTTAGTATTTTATCCAATTGTCAGCCGCCCTGAGTCCGCAAGGGGAAGGGCGGGATATAAATGTAATTAATAAATAAATAAATAAATAAAATAGTTTTGTATAGGTTTGATTTCTTCTCCATTTTTAGTGCTAACCACTGGCATTTTTATGCTTACATAAACTGGATTGTACTCACTCGTATATAGCACCTTCCTACACCATTTAGTTTCAAGTTTCCTTTGTTGTGCTCCATTCCGTTTGTTCAGAGAAGCCTAACCACCTGCTAGGCAGCTTATGTTAAGCAAAATGATATAACTATAAAGAACATAATCTGCTAGTTGTAGGACTTGGTATAGAAAGAGCATAAACTGCCAGTTGTATGACTTGTATGACATGGTATCTGCTAGATAGTTTATGTTAAGCAAAATGATATAAATAGAAAGAGCATAAACTGCCAGTTGTACGACTTGGTATAAATATTCATTTAAATTTGAAATGATACATTTTAAACATATACTGCTCGGGTCCTATGCCTTCCGTATTCGCTATATAAGAGTATTCACCAGGAACAGCCTGTGTAGTAAAAGCAATATCTTTATTTTTATTTATTGCAGAATTTCTCAAAAGCAGTGCTGTGTCTCGTACTTAAAGGAGAATAGCTGCATTGCTGGCATGATTGCTGCCAGAGAAGGTGATTTGTGTGGATCAGATGAAAGCGACACCTGTGGAAGATCATTTTATAAGGCAAGATATTCTGCTGAATCTATGTGGCATCCTTGCTAATACAAACCAGCTTACACTTGGACCATTTTAAACCTTTGGTGTGGGTTTTTATTTTACTCAATTGCAGAGCATCATGGGTAGGAAATAATTTTTAAAAGTTACTTAGCTAAGCAGTTTGGCTGCTTGCCTCTATTTCAGAGCTTAGGCCAGATGTACATTTTATCTAGCTGATAAGAATTTCATTAGTGCTTTGCTTAAGCAGTCTGTCTCCACTATTCTAGTTAACAGCATGACAGGATTTTTTTTTATTAAAAAAAACGATCACATTATAGATAAATTGTTGAGTTCCACATGTGGTTAGACATATATATTGGCTTAAAAGTAAACTTACCAATTAACCTGATTTAAACTTTAAAAATATTTTATCTGATTATATTATTCTTTGTAAAGGTGGTGTCTGGCAAAACCTGCAATACAGCTTAGTTACTGCAGCTCAAGGTCTGATTTCTTACGTGTGAAACCTTTTCTTCCAGATCTTAACCCTATTTAAGATTTCAAAATTAATACTGAGCACAGAATAATTTTGATTGATTACATACCATGAAATTGATGTTGACTCTTAGTGACCATATAGATTTTTTTTCCCCTGAAGATTTGTTCTTGGTCCTTAAGATCTTGCAATGGTGGCCCTTAGAGAGCTGTATGCAACGAAATTTCATTTTGGTGTATGCCGATTGGTGTACATTCAAAGTGACAATAAAGTTGTTGTTATTGTTATTATTGTTATAGGTGTGCTCATTGCTACTTTTATTGACTCCAGCCACTTGGCTGCCAGTCATCCTCTTTTATCCTTCCTTTCATCTTTCTCAGTGTTTGAACCTTTTCAGGAGAGTTAGGGCTTTGCATAATGTCTCGAGTCTGACAGTATATTTAGCCTTTAGATTCTCACAAGTATATTTTGCACAGTCTTATCAAGATATGCATTAACTCTGCCTCATTAGGTAATATCCAAATATCTTGCAAATGCATACAGAATGAAAAAAATATAAACCAGTTTGTGGGGCAATTCAAGCTGTAATCACTGAATAATTTATTGAAAATATTATTTAATGTTTTCTGACACATGAACAAATAGTAAAGCCATAGATATCCATACGGGGGCCAAGGATGAAATGTGCTTTGTGACATTAGAATGGAAGCTTCATCTTTGACATATTTGGGTGTGATGACCTGATGCAAGTCTGAAAGAGTGGAACTGTGCATGTTTTGCCTGTTTGAGATCATTGTGGTTATGGGTGGATGTCCACGATGATAGAGTGATTTAGAGCAGAAGTCATTATGATACAATTGTATACTTGGCATGAAATAAAAAAGTGACATTTATTTCATTTGTATTTGGAGTATCTCAAATATCGGGTAATTATATGAAGCCTTTAGTATATTGATTTATTGTAGCCTTCCCATCTTTGCCCTCAAAGTAAGTTTTTACTACCCACATCAGTGATGTAAAGATTGGGATGATGGAGTCCAAAATACATGAAGAAAAAAGTAAGATTAAAAAGTGATGTTTCTGTTGCTTTCCTAATGCAATTATATCTAATTATCTCTTAAATAATGAGTGCTTTGCAATATGAAGTGCAGTTTATTATTCCTTTTAGCATTTATACTTCTTTAGTTGTTAGGAAAACAGACTCTGGGACCTAGAGCAATTTGACTTAATTTATTCCATTCCAAATGATTAAATATGCAAGCATTGACCTATCTGCCAGTTAGTGTCCTGAGCCTGTGGGACACCAAGGCACATCAACCAAAAGCAGTGCTTCATCTTCATAGAGTCTCAGAAAAGATTCCCTCACCTTTGTAAACTACAACCATGTATACTGACATATGTAAGTGGTCATATATTATGTTTGTGTCTGAGATGTGAGATCTGGATATGGAGAGATTTCCATCTTCCCTTTGCAAATGTTCAGATCAAGTCCTGACTTCTTTCAGGTTTGTCATCTGCAATCTCCACAGAAGAGGTGTCATATAGAATAGAATAGAATAGAATAGAATAGAATAGAATAGAATAGAATAGAATAGAATAGAATAGAATAGGAAGGGACTTTGGAGGTCTTCTAGTCCAGCCCCCTGCTCAAGCAGGAGAACCTATACCATCTCAGACAGGTGAACGTCTAGTCTCTTCTTAAAAATCTGCAGTGATGGAGTGCCCACGATTTCTGAAGGCAAGCTGTTCCACTGGTTAATTGTCCTCACTGTCAGGAAGTTTCTCCTTAATTCCAGATTGCTTCTCTCTTTGATCAGTTTCCAACCATTATTTCTTGTCCTTCCCTCTGGTGCTCTTGTGAACAACCTGGTGTCCTCTGCCTTGTGGCAGCCCCTCAGATGCTGGAACACTGCTATCATCTCTCCCCTGTTTCTTCTTTTCTTTAGACTAGCCAAACCCAAGTCCCATAGCCGTTCTTCGTATGTTTTAGTCTTCAGGCCTTTGAAGGTCTACCCTAAGCACCTGATAGATCCAGCAGGTTCTCAAAGGATATTTGGGAAGTTCCATAGCAATCTGGTAGGCAGCTCTGACTGAATGAGCCACTGGCAATGAGAGGTAAGCCAAGTGGTGGACAAGATTGCCCCAAGCAACCTCTGGCTGCTGGCCTATTTTAATAGACTTTTTGGTTTATGTCCTTCTGAGAAATAAAGTATTAGAAAGGATACCTAGAGTGCTAGTGGAGAAAGATGGGGAAATATGCTGATTAAATACAAGTTTACACTCATGTTCGGTGATAAGAGAAGTGAATCACTTTTCCTTTTCCTCTCTTATTGTGTCGTAGGGCCATTGTCTAATAGCCATGTTTTGGTTGACCAACTCTCTATTAAGAATTTATTAAGAATTAATTAAGACCAATTTGCACCACATTTTGCTGATATAGTTGTTCAGATTTGCCAGTGCTGAGGATGTACTACACAAAGACAAAACTCAGCAAAGAAGCTTCATCTAGAAATACGATTCCTTCTGCTCCACCTTCAGCAAGGTATACATTGTGTATAGGAACGTGTGCCAGTTATGGAGAGTCAGTCAAATTCTCATTCAGCCATAAAGTTGACTGTAAATTTAATCTTGCGTTCATAATTGTTGAAGTTAAAACGGTATAGGGAGAAAATCTCCATTCACTCTGAACTTTTTGGAGAAAGGATAGAATAGAAAGCATTAAAAGAATAAATAATTTGATTATCTGCTATAAGTTAAGGCAATGTTTTGTACCTGTTCTGGTATTAGACGTTGTTTTGTTCTGTAGTCAGCATGTAATGGATTTATATAAAGCTGCCCATGGCAATTGTAATAAACTATAGTATACTGTTTCAGGGATGGACATAATAAGTTGTAATGTAATTTTAGCCAAAAACATATGTTCTGGGTTAGCATGGTCTCTTTTGTCTTCTATATGCTCCATATGTAAAGGGGGGGGGTTTGTGTGTATGTTTTTCATTTTAAACAAAAGGAACTGAAAATCCTTTCTACAAAGAACTACACTGCTGATTTACTTCTTCTCTAAGGGTGTACTAGAAGGACCTCTGAAACCTTCTAACTCAGCATATGTCATGTCAGAATCACAGTAGACATTCCCGCAAATATTTTGCAACAAAATCTTTTTTTTCTAAATTTCTAAATTCTAGAGCCTGATGGAATAATTTGTGGTTTACAATGATGTACAATAAAATGGCACTTCAGTGAAAACAATATAATCAAAACCCTCCGTATAGAAGAAATGGCACTATAGCACAGATAATATCTAAAAAAGGAGAAAACCAATAAGGTTGAGTTCAACTCTTTGGAAAGGACATACCCATTGCCTTATCTTGGCCAAATGGTTTCTTGCTGTCTTGAGTGATGCTTTTTGAATTCCCAGTAATCTAGAACTCTGTTTTTTCCTGGGTATCCAAGCACTAGCTGGATTTGACAATGCTTAGTTTTTCCTAGCCAAGGTCAACTAGGAAGACAGAAAGAAAGATGTATGCATGAAAACCTACTTTTGAATATTCAGGGAATTTCTGTATAATTGGTTGATTTGCAATTCTAGGCAGTAAAATATTTATTTAATTGATTATTATTGTGGCCCTCTAAACAAAGCAACCATATTACAATCTTTATAAAGAAGAGTATAAAAGGTATAGGTGTTAAAAATATTTTGTATTTTTTTTTCAAACAAACAAATAGACACTATTTCTTGGAAAGGACAATTGAACAAACCTTTTAGGACAGGTTCTTTAAAAGGACCAGCAGACTGACCCAACAAACAAAGTCATGGAGTAGATCAGGGGTCTTCAAACTTGGCTCTTTTATGACTTGTGGATTTCAACTCCCAGAATTCCTCAGCTGGCGTGCCTAGCTGAGGAATTCTGGAAGTTGAAGTCCACAAGTTATAAAAGGGCTAAGTTTGGAGACCCCTGGACTAGATCTTACATGATGTTTGGAATACTGGTAATGTTTGGTGCACAAACTACATGGTTTCAAGACATTGTTTCTCAGGGATGTCCTTATAATAAGGTTGGGGGCCAAATGGTTTCTGGGTCAATGCTGATGTTAGTTTTTTTAAACGAGTAGCTTGGAATTAAATTGAGAAGTGTTGCAACCTGCCGCCTGTGGTTTCTTAACTTAATCCATTTGCAGGCATAATGAGGAATGCAGCGAAATATGCTCAAAGTTGAGAATCTGATTTAAATATTTATTATGCCCTTTCCTTATTAACCATGTAACTAGTAAAGCCATTAGGGGAGGGAGCTATGGGAATAAAAAATATTCTGACTGACGCAGTTTGGAAGAATGTCTGAAGAATTCAGGTTAAATGGCTTTTAAAAAGGAATCTTTTAAGTCTGCCTGGGGTGTATATGTAATATCTTCTTTTAAAGTTTTTATTTTATTTGAACATGTGAAAGATGGTTATGGAATAAGCTGGTACACCTTTGCTCTTTTGCATTTTTTGGGAGAAATAAATCTCTTCCCCCCTCCCAAATATATATATATATAGACGAAAGGAACCACCTCTTTCGGGTATTCAAAT